ATAATAATAATAATAAAGTTGGAAGGGACCTTGGAGGTCATCTGGTCCAACCCCCTGCTCAGGCAGGAAACCCTATACCATTTCAGACAAATGGCCGTCCAGTCTCTTCTGAAAAACTTCCAGTGTTGGAGCATTCACTGCCTCTGGAGGCAGGTTGTTCCACTGGTTAATTGTTCTCACTGTCAGGAAGTTTCTCCTTAGTTCTAGGTTGCTTCTCTCCTTGATTAGTTTCCATCCGTTGCTTCTTGTCCTGCCTTCAGGCGCTTTGGAGAATAGCTTGACTCCCTCTTCTTTGTGGCAGCCCCTGAGATACTGGAAGACTGCTATCATGTCACCCCTCGTCCTCTTCATTAAACTAGACCAGTGGTTCTCAACCTGTGGGTCGGGACCCCATTTGGGGTCAATTGACCATTTCATGGGGGTCGCCAAGCAAGGCTGTCCGCCATTTTTTTTGTCCTTTTCTGGCGGGTGCCTTACCTCCCTTGGGCTGGGCCAGCTGGTGGTCAGCCTGCTCCGTCTCTGCTGCTTGCCAGCTACGCCTCGGCCGGCGCAGGGGGCGGAACCACGCATGCGCAGCGCTCCCGGGCAGGGAAAGTCCTCGACTTACGACCGGTTGGGTAGTCCTCGACTTACAACCGGTTTAGTCCTCGACTTACAACTGGTTTAGTCCTCGACTTATGACCATTTAGTCCTCGACTTACGACCGGTTGGGGTCGCGGCATTAAAAAGGTTGAGAACCACTGAACTAGACACACCCAATTCCAGCAGCCATTCCTTATATGCTTTAGCCTCCAATCCCCTAATCATCTTTGTTGCTCTTCTCTGTACTCTTTCTAGAGTCTCAACATCTTTTTTACATCGCGGTGACCAAAACTGAATGCAGTATTCCAAGTGTGGCCTTACTAAGGCATTGTAAAGTGGTACTAACACTTCACGTGATCTTGATTCTTTCCCTCTGTTAATGCAGCCTAGCACTGTGTTGGCTTTTTTGGCAGCTGCAGCACACAGCTGGCTCATATTTAAGTGATTGTCCTTGAAGTGTCAGGGACCTGGAGAAGCTGGCAGTTACACATGCCTAACAACAGGCAGCAAACTTTCAGAACAAAATTTCAACTGATGGTGCAGCTTTACCTCCATCAAGGCAATCCCAAAGCTTGATGCCTGGCCTTACACACCTGCAAGAAAAAGTGGGGTGGGCGTGGGGGACCATATGCTCCACCCTCGGAAAGTGACATGATATAATGCAGATTCTTAACTTGATTTTTGTTTTTAGCTTATTTGCATTTTATAATTGCCAGGAGAATTAAGCACAAAGGAATGAACTTCCCAATTTGCATTACATGTTTTGGTTTGTGCCTTACGAAACAGTTGGGCATATATGGCTGGTGCATCCATAGCTCACCCAGTTCCAAATCAGAACATGAAAGCTTGTGCATTGTGTCAGGGAAAGGAAGAGGCAAGAGCAGCAATAATTCTGGCAACTGGCTATACGGTGTTTAAATAAACCAGGATGCATTTGGCAGTTGGGAACCGAGTGTTTGACTGATAATTTTGGGGGAAGCGAACAACTATAAGCAACTTCAGTGTCCTGTTAGCCCGTCATGACAACCTATATTCATTAATAGTAAGCTGATAGCATGATTATGACATGTTTTATTATCCAGGAACTGGTTTATTCATGACACAGCATTTGCATCTCATTCAATTAAAAACAGTTGCCCAGTGGCTTACAGGGATTTGTACGTCCATGCACAGATGATGATTTGACGTGGGTGAACATTTGTTAATGAGAACTTTCACTTTTAAGTCTATTAGAGCATAACAACCAAAGCATATTGTGTTATATCAATTCTAGGATTTTTCCTGCAGTTAAATGATCACTCAACATACTTTCTAATGTTGGTTGGGAATGATTATTTCAACTAATCAATATATTTGACCATGGCTGTACCATCTTTCATTACTACTAACCATGGTTTCCTGGAGAGGTAACTATCATAAACTTTCATTCATTTCAGTGAGCAGTAAGATTCATGTAGGGCAGAAGTACAATGTGTGCAAATGCAGCAATTACAACATGCTTAAATAATTTCTATTCCAAAGAGATCTAAGAGCTGATGACATTTTTCTTCTGAGTCAGGGTCTTCTGTAGTATCTTCTAGATGAAAATAACTCCCTGGTCATTTATATTTGGCAAAGTAGTAGTGTTTTTGTAAAGAGGATTATTTTACGTATATGAACAGCTTTGAACTGTAGTTCCGGTGTTTTGGGTTTGGTGGTGTGAATGGAAAAAGGCCTGGGTATCCTTTTGCTTAGTAAACTCAAAACCGTTATTAAAAGCATTTATGGGCTAGCATGTAATGAAAATGATTGCATGTTCAATAAATACTGTATGTCTCTGTACTTGAAAGCCGGTGTAGCCAAGAATTACAAGTGATAAACGATCAGTAGCTTCATAATTATTTTCCAAATGGAGATCAATCTGTGAAAGCCCATTTTAATCAGGTTCTAAAAGTTACAAACCAGGTTTGTGAGCCCAGAAATGCTTGAACCTTGTTGGTCCCATTCTTTGTTTTCAGTCAGCAGCCGCCAGATCTTTTCAAATTTCAAAAGTTTTAATTGCTTTTCTAAGTTTATATATTACTTTTTTGCTTCTTAATGCTAGTCCCTTACAACATTGAACTATGAATCGGTTATCAATAAATGCATTTATTAGGATGGAATTGTTTGATCCTACATAGCACAATATTTTCAAATCTGGAGAAAACTTCCAATTTTTCAGTTGGCTCTTTGTTTGAATTCTGGCATGGATAACAACTGCTCAAAAAAACCAAGCTAGGATTATTAAAAAAAAGAAAGTACCTGTATGAAGTCTTTTTTCCCCCAAGTCACTGTCAATAAATACTTTGAAGTAGACAAGAGATTAGGAGACTATAATGGATTCACTGCAAAAGACTATGTGAAGTTACAATCTTGTATCAGATAAGAACATGAGCATGCAGTTTATCCATTGACGGATTTTTGTAGGCATCTTGGCATACTCGACTGCTATTTTACAAATTTTCTGTTGGTCAGTTGAACTTAAACAATTAAGACTTTAAAGTTTTTTCAAGAAGACTTAACACAGATAACCAAAACTAATTTCACATTGTGACAAGCTTAATTTACCCAGGAATCCTTTGCCAATGAAGACAGGAAAGCAATTTTCTAATTTTGTTCAGGCTCAGTCATGCCTTCTTATGAAGCAAGCATAGTTTATGGAAAATATAAAATAAAGTGAATCTCCATGATATGGGTATCTTTGGATTGAAACAGATTTTGAATATCTAGTTGTGCAAATTAACAGCATCATGAGCTTATCTCCTATAGTCGTCGTCACACCTCCACAAATGATGCATGGTGTGTTCTGCCTTGCATCCTGGTCAGCTTTTGTAATAGTAGCAAAGTTATGTATGTATGTATTCCATCTCTGGTTCAAGATAACAGGTTTTTGCTGTGCACACAACAACTATTAGTCCATAATCATTCTGTAATGCGTATTGTGTGCTATGCATGATTGTATATCTTCCCGTGAGCTGGGAATAGAGCTGCTTTTTCATGCTGTGGGTTTCTTCAGAGATTACATATAAACAATCAAGATAATAGTCTGTCCTTAATGGCGTACTGTCTTTCCCTTTCTTCATCTGATTCTGAGCAATTGATCGGATTTACCCATAATTTGTCATGTCGTTGCAAGTTTTCTACTATGATAGTAAAATTTAATTATTTCAAGGTGATCATTTAAAGCATTTCAATTGCTTAAATAATTAAGATGGTCTATGTTTTGTTCCCTGTGGCCTGTATGCCTGGGTTACGATGGTCACGTAGAATGAAATTAAAAACATTTTTTAACTCTCTGAAAAGAAAAGAAGGGTAAGAATTAGGCCTAGGGGAATATAATGGTTATTTGTTTGACAACTTCCATTGAATTTGAAGTCTTAATTTCGATCTGTGTGTGCAATCTTTGAAGATGGAGCCTCTTTTATGTTGAAACATGAAAATATTTGGGATTTTATTTTGTCTGTTTTAAGGTGGTTTTGCTGTAAAAATTATTCCCTTTCTGATTGATACACGTGGGTCGCAATCCTTTGTACCATGAATTCAACCTCTACGTATTGAAGATCCCTTTACAACCTAACAGGCCTAAGTTCTCTTCCTTTTTCCTGTTATGCATGTTAGCTTAATCACCAGATTATTGTCACATTTTGCTTTCCAGTTTAAAAGCAACTGTAAAACTGTAAAACAACCCCCAACATATCTGCAGTATTACAATCACTGGCCTGCTGTTCTGTGCCCAATTTATCATTCCTTTCATGCAAAACCCTTCTTTTGTTCAGGACAGGTAGTTCTCGACTTAACAACCATTCCTTTAGTGCCAGTGCAACGGCGCAGAAAGAAGTGACTTGGGACTGGTTTTTTTACACTTACGACCATTGTAGCATCCCCACGGTCACATGATCAAAATTTGGGTGCTTGGCAACTGGCATGTACTTATGACAGTTGCACTGCCCTGAGGTCACGTGATCCCCGTTTGCTACCTTCCGGCAAGCAGAGTCAAAGGGGGAAGCTAGGTTGGCTTAACAGCTGCACGATTCACTAAACAGTTGCAGTGATTCACTTAACAACTGTGGCAAAAAGGTTGTAAGACGGGGCGAGGTTCATTTAACCAACTGCCTTGGCTCAGCAGCGGAAATTTTTGGGGCTCAGTTGCGGCTGTAACTCGAGGACTACCTGTCCAGCCAGCCAAAGATGGGACTCTTTTTAAACATTGATTTGACGAAGTGCCACTTCTCTTACAAAAATCAGTGTAAGTCATCCTCCAGGTTTATGGAATCGATGGCCGTAGTCAGTTATTAAATCCTTCTGTTACTTAGGCATAGCAGGGTTGAGTATCGGGCAGCAGACAAGTTTAATAAGTCATTAATTGTCATAACTGAGCCAGCGTTTTTTGGTGTTAACAGCGCATAAAGAAGAGCGGAAGGTTGAGGATAAACCAGGAGAGCCTCCTGCGATGCTGAAGAAAACGGTTGCACCGACGTCGGTGGTTGAGAAACACGTGTCTTCCCAAACAAGAAGTGTGTCCCTGAAGAAGCCCTCGCCGTTTGCCAGTACTTCACTGGTCAAGACCCCGGTGAAACACTCGGCCGCAAGTTTTAAAGGGGTCATACCCAAGAAGTCTTCGCTTGCAACGGGTCCTCCCGCTTCAGGCGGCCTTTCGTCCTTAAAGCCACCGTTGTCCTCCTATGGAGGCCCTTCCATGGCTAAAAAACCAGTCCCCCCCTCTAGCACAATGGCAGGGCTTAGGAGACCGGCCATGTATCCCGCTTCTTCTACAGCCACCTCATTCCCTCCACAAGCCAAGCTAGCTGCTGCAAGCACCAGCCAGTCGCAGCCCAATTCTCAGATTCGACAAAACATACGGAGGTCTCTTAAAGAAATTTTGTGGAAAAGGTAGGAACCGCCGTAACATGCGCCTGAGGCAATGCACCTTACAAGCCTAGTGGGGGATGCGCGTTTATTAGGATTTCCCTTTCGCAACGTTCGCTTTCAAATGAGGTTTACGAAATCCATTTACGGCAGTGATGGCGAACCTTTTAGAGACTGACTGCCCAAACTGTAACCCAAAACCCACTTATGCATCATTGAGTGCCAGGTGGGTGTGGCCCATTGGGTGGGTGTGACCCATTGGGTGGGCATGGCCCATTGGGTGGGCGTGGCTACAGTGGTAACGGCAGACTGGGTGGGACTAAAAAGTTCAATCAATCAATTCCAACTTTGCAAGATCTTTTTTTTTCCTGTGAGAAGTTGAAATTGACTGATTGAACCTTTCTCTTTTTTTGCACACAGCGGCGGAGGCCTAAAGCAAAAAGGGTTTATAAAACCCAGCTGAAGGCCTAGGACTGGGGTGACGGCACGCGTGCCCATAGAGAGGGCTCTGAGTGCCGCCTCTGGCACCCGTGCCATAGGTTCGCCACCACTGATTTACGGTATTGCTCACCGATGGGCTCCTGTTGAGAAAGAAGTACTTTTAAAGTTTCACATTAAGGGTTTACTATTTCAGAACATTCTAAAGAAAGGACAGGTGGCTTGGTTGAGACTTAGCTGCTCTAAATTGACCTAAATCATTAGCAGCCCTTCCATCAAACATAAATTTGTAGGAGACTAATAAACGTATACGTTGACAGTTCTTTTAAATCGGTGTTTCTCAATCATGGCAGCGTGAAGATGTGTGGACTTCAGCTCCCAGAATTCTGGGAGTTGAAATCCACATTATTTTCCAGCTGCCAATGTTGAGAAATGGTGTTTCAAATGGTTTTGAAATGTGCCAGTGATGAAGGATGGAAATCCCCCATCAGAAAAGGGCCGTTCTCTCTTCAATTCCATGTTCTGTGGAGTTCTTGGTGCTCTCTGAGCTTGCTTGTTTACTTGCCTGCAGACATTTCTTTAGCAATCTAAATCCAGAAATGGAAGCTTAGCATTCAGACAAATCAGCCATCAATAAACACATAGAGATAAAACCACATTTATAGGCCATTCAAAGACAATTAAAAAACCTAGGAAGGAAATAGACTACAACCCATCCTCTCCAGTAGTCCGCAGTTTGCTAAGCAGGCAGACAACCTGTAATCAATACTGTAATCTAATGAAAACTCTAAAGAGGAAACCACACTCCCACTAAAACTGGCAGGGCGAGCTTCTGTACCAGTGGTGGTGAACCTATGGCACGCGCGCTGTCGCCCCAGTCCTAGGCCTTCAGCTGGGTTTTATAAAACCTTTTCGCTTTAGGCCTCTGCCGCCGTGTGCAAAAAAAAAAAAGGTTCAATCAATCAATTTCAACTTCTCGCGGGGAAAAAAAAGATCTTGCAAAATTGGAATTGATTGATTGAACTTTTTAGTCCCACCCAAGTTTGCCGTTACCACCGCAGCCACGCCCACCCAATGGGCCACACCCACCCGGCACTCGACGATGCATAAGTGGGTTTTGGGTTGCAGTTTGGGCACTCAGTCTCTAAAAGGTTCGCCATCACTGTTCTATACAGTAAACAGGCAGCAAACTCCACACTCATTTAGCACTGATGGTGTTACCTAGTTGGGTATTAAAACATTTGCAAGTAAACCACCAAGTTCAGAGAGCATCAAGGACCCGGCAGTTCAATATGGAACTAGAGATATTAGCAGAATCCCGATAGAAGAGAATAAGACTAATTATAGAAGATTGCACACACTCCCTTGCTGTCTTTAGATGAAACTAATGGTGCTGACTTTTTTTCCCCCCCAGAGTAAATGACAGTGATGACTTGGTCATGACAGAAAACGAAGTGGGGAAGATTGCACTGAATATTGAAAAGGAGTTGTTCAATTTATTCCAGGCTACAGATAATCGATATAAGAGTAAATATCGCAGTATTATGTTCAACCTCAAGGACCCCAAAAACCAGGTTAGTCTGTACTGAAATGAAGGAGCCATTGTTTTGATTGGTTTTATTTTCCTGCAGCCAACTTTCGACTCTAGTTTAGTAATTAATATACATTATTAGGTGTTGCTCTGGAATATACAATGCATCCCTACCTCAGATTGTTAGGTTTTGGGGGAAAAAATGATTAAGAACCATTTGGTAGATGAATAAATGTATATATATTGTAAATAAAAATTGGTTTCCCTCATTTCACTAATTGGTCATGTGATAAACTGGGTAGGTATTGTAGATTCATTGCAAAAAAAAATATTTGCTAATACACTGTTAATGAAATATTTTCAGCTTTAGGAGGCAGTATTGAGCCTCATGGTGCTTAATTTTAAAGGGTGATTAATGACGTTAGGGATAATAGACTGCTAATCAAACCTTAATTAAGTTATTTGTATTTTATATTGAAATCCAAGATTTAACATTCCTTGTAAATGCACATAAAGTTAAATGTAAGATTTTTCATAAAAGCACAAAGGTAATAGTTGACATTCACCATATACAGCGTTGTCAAATTGCTCAGTGCTGTATTTTGTAGCAACCACATTAAAAAAAATGAATAAGCATTCTTTAGATCTACAGTTAGGATGATCTAAATTGGCTATGGTCATTTATTTATCTAGAAGTCTGTATTCTCTCATTAGTATGTAACAAAATCAATCTTCTCGCTAGGGTCTTTTCCACCGTGTTCTTCGAGAAGATATTCCTTTGTCAAGGCTTGTAAGAATGAAACCCGAAGAACTCGTATCTAAAGAGCTGTCATCGTGGAAAGAAAAACCAGCCAAATCAGTACGAAATAATTTGTTTTCCACATATGAAGTAAAAATTGTGATGCTTTTTTGTATTATGTTTAGGGGACATGATTGGTAAGAATGTACAGGTGGTACTTGACTTACAAATGGTCACTTAACAACTGTTCAAAGTTAAGAGAGACCCTCCAAAAGGTATTTATGAGCCAAATTCAAAGTTACAATGCATGCCCCCACAGTCAAATGATTGCATTTTGGGGCACTTGGCAACTGGCCTGTATTTACATTTGTTCGAAGTGTCCCTCCATCACATAACCACAGCTTACAATATTTTTTGCCTGAAACCAATGTTTATTTCCAATTTCCAGCAAAAAAAACCCCTCCCCTGGTGGACAATGGTTTTGCTTAAGGACTATTGTGATTTGGTTAACGATCACTACAAAAAAACTTGTAAAATTGAGTTGGTCACAAGCTGTTCAGCATGATTTATTACCATAAATCTAGGCTCAATTGTAGCCATAAGCCAAGAATGCCCTATATTAGGGTGTTGTTGTTTAACAAAGTAGCAATTACAGTGGATTTTGTAACTAGTTATAATCTATGTAGTCCAGGAGTAGGCAACCTTGGCTCTTTTATGACTGGTGGACTTCAACTCCCAGAATTCCTGAGCCAGCATGGCTCAGCTTGGAAACCTCTCCCTTTTCCCTCAGCATGGCTGGCTCAGGAATTCTGGGAGTTGAAGTCCACGAGTCCTAAAAGAGCCAAGGTTGCCTACCCCTGATGTAGTCATTCCCAGCCTGATGCTTTTCTAGTTATTATTGTTATATTCGTTATTTTATTTGACAATGACACTGCCTGACTCCAGTTTTGCTCCAGGCATCTCACAAAATAAAAACCAACAGCAATATACAATCCAGATTGTATGAGCAAACGACAAATCCAGTCAACAGCCACATACACACACCACACAAGGGATTCCAGCTAGCCCAATGTCTGTGGAGATTCTCAGTCATCCAGGTCATGGTTGCCCCAAAGATGCTTGTTCAAGAGGCAACTGGACTTCCTTTGTTTTTCCATGAAGACATTTTGCTTCTCATCCAAGAGCTTCAAAGAAAAACAAGAACGTCCAGTTCCCTCTTGAAAAAGCACCTTTGGCACAACTAGCCTAATCCAACGCTTGGGAGTAGAACCAGGCCTTTAAGATGCTCTAGAATGCCACTGGGGGAGAGCCACCCAGAACTCAGTGGGTATCTCATTCCAGAGGGGAAATGCTCAAAAGATGGCCTCCTTTGGTTTGAGGGTGCCAATCAATGGTGGGATTCAGATAGTTCGTACCACTTCGGCAGAACCGGTAGCTAAATTTTTTGTGGTCCAGGCCCAGAACGAACTTCCGGAAGTGGCATCCACCCGGAGAACCGGTTGTTCACATATTTGAATCCCACCACTGGTGCCAATCCTCACCAGGCAGATACCAGGAGAGACAGGTCGGACATAAATTATATTGAGACTACAGCATCTACCTCAATCTGTAATGTTAGAAATTATAGTCCCCAGAGTAGAAAGTTTGGAGTACTGATTAAAAAGATGATTAGGGGACTGGAGGCTAAAACATATAAGGAACGGTTGCTGGAATTGGGCATGTCTAGTTTAACGAAGAGAAGGACGGGGGGGGGGGGGATGATAGCAGTGTTCCAATATCTCAGGGGCTGCCCCAAAGAAGAGGGAGTCAAGCTATTCTCCAAAGTG